ATCGTGTATACACACGTGTACGTATAACACAAGCATCTGCCATATCCGTGGTTGGCGAAGCGGTCCGGCCACATGAAATTGAAAGTTAGCGTGGGTCGATAGCTACCGCCCAGACCGGTCCAAGTTTACTTGGACATTAACTTACCGATTGGTCCGAGAAAATATCACTGGACTTTCGTTACGGGCCGCTTGCTTGTCCGTCGAGCCTTCCTCGGCAGCGACAGGATAACGCGAAAAATCCAACGAATTTCCCTCGTTCTCCAGTGAACGTTAGCTAAGTTAGCCAAGTCCTGAAGATGGTATACCACAGAGTCACGAGAGTACTTCTTCCCTCGTCCATGGTCGTAATTAATTAAATAATTTATAGCCGCGAGACGAACGAAGGACGATGGTGGCTGGTATGCGCGCTTTTAAGGGCAAGGGGCAATTAACCGTGTATAATTAAACCTGGCAGACTAATTAGACGGCTATGTTAATATTAATTGCGACCCGGTCCATTTTTCTCCCCCCTCTCTCTCCCTCTTCGATTCTCATGATCCAACTGTTGATACCTCTGGTTAGGATGCGTGCAGATTATGCTCTCTGCGCGAAAGTAGAGAATCGAACTTCACCGGTATACGCTTATTTGAATATTCGTTGTTTCGTGCGCGTTCGATGTTTAATCTCGATGCGTTCTACGTATGTACACGGTAGAAATTGGAACGCAGCAAGCATGTTGCTTCACGTTCACCCGATCGAACGAACTTTCGTACCCTAACGAGCACGATTATTTTCGAACTCCTATCAGTTGGTTTACCTGGTTCGAATTGTAGTTGAAGTGTGGCTCTTATTCGATCACAGGTCGCCGGCCAATTATTGGACACCGAGTTTCAACCGACGGTTACAGCGACATGCAAGGCCGGACACATGACGATACGAGTGAATCTGAATCAGAGTTTCGTCGGAGCTGTTCACGCCAGAGATTTTCGGACGCCGCAGTGCATGGCGCCCGGAAATGGCTCTACACACGCCACTCTAGCCATTAATCTACTCGCGCCTAAAGGATCTCCGGATTACTGCGGTGTCTTGGTGAACAACGTAAGTACAATTCCTACCGTTTCATCAATTACATCCTAGAGACTGGGGAAAAAGCAGTCGAAAAACTGTGAAGTACAAATTTTTAACACGTACAATAAGCAGGTTACAACTGAAACGAGAAAAAAAAAATACGATAAAGATATTTACATTTCTTGAATGGAAAAAAAAAGAGAACGCTAATTACTGAAACGTAAACGCTTGGGTAGATCGGAAATAAGGTCAGATAAGAGAACCGCTTAATTACTTTTGTCTTCTAAATTCACCCTTGACGCCCAGTACGCTATGAAACATCCTGTATGATCTCACTTATCGTTTCATCTCCTCTACCGTCACAATGGGACGGTATATTCTACCCTTGTAATTTCCTCTATTTCAAACGTCAGCCTCCATTTAACGCGCCGGCCAACAAATATCCCCCTTAATCCCTGTGTAATTCTTGCAGGACACCGAGGAACGCTCCATCCCCATCGCGGTGAGGATACACAAGACCCTGGAACTGGCGGACGATAAATTCTACGTGATCACGTGCGGAAAAGCTGGATTCAAAAATGCCAAGTACATATAACAGTTTATTAATATTAGCCCGTATCTCGTGAAATCACCGCGGTTCTACAAAGTGTATACATGTCTGTCTGTGTGTGTGTGTGTGTGAGAGAGAGAGAGAGAGGTTAATATCGCAACAGCACGATAATTTCTCTGCTCAGGAACGAGACCTCGCTGGTATCGTTGCGCCTTTTGGACGGAGGCCACAAAGTGCAAGAGGCTATTTATGGTCACAACTACACATTGCGTGCAGAGATCTCGCGACCAGATGGTTCGTACGCAGCGTCTCTCACACCGGGTTTCACCCCTTAACGTTTAATTGGAATTAACGAGCGCGCGTGAAACGCGTTCACGCGCGGCCTCGCTGACGCGCTCTCATCGATCTTTCTCGTTTGCAGGAATGTACGGAATCAAAGTGAAATCGTGTTTCGCGTTCAACAAACGAAACACCAGCGTACAGCTGATAGACGACAAAGGGTACGTTCAATTTTCTTTATTACTCTCTGAGCTCTCTGATTTGTCGAAATTAACACATATATATCGCGTGTACCTTCTGTCGCGTCGATTCAATTAAACACGAAACGGTGAATTTGCGAATTTAAATATGAATTTTACACACCGACCGCCTCATCATCGCCGGCACTGATATCATAACCGATTGCGTAACGCTCGCTTTTCCATGACAAAGGTGTCCCGTAAAGGCTCGGGTCATGACGAAATTCATCTACGATCGGAACACGGGACTGGCGGATGCGACATTGTTCTCGATGTTCCGGTTCCCCGACAGTCCACAGGTGCATTTTCAATGCGACATCGCTGTGTGCAGAGGTAAACTGATTCGCTGAATGATTTCCAATTACGACCTGGGTCGAATCTGGGTTACACAGTGCCGTTCAACTCCACCAGACCAATTAACATGTTCCCCTCGAAAGTTTTCCACCACGGTGACGTGTTACGACGAACTTATCTCTCCAACGATACGTTTTATATCACCTTGCCCGCCACATCTTCCATCGTCGGGCGCCGAAAGAGAAATTTCCCGATTCACACACGTTTTCACAGTGACACGTCGAACGGTATACACCACGCGACAAACCCAGAGATAACACAGGCGAAGAGCGAAACAGTAAAACGGTTTATCTTCTTTTTCCACCAGGAAGCTGCGGTATCCCCGTTTGCGAAGGCGATAACGAGGAAGAAATAAAGGGAGCGTCCTTAATTAATGGGCAAAGCGTGAGCGGCGAGGAAGGAGTGCTTCTAGCGGGCACGAGCGTGTTCGTTCTTGACCCTGGTCAAACGCCATGTAAATATCTCCGCACAGTACTTTTCATACTGGCTAACCTCTTCTCTACTTCCTGCTACTCCATGATACACCGTGATTAAACTTATACCTCCTTCGAAATCTTTTTTCCTCTCCCTTCCTCTCCCTCTCTTTATCTCGTTGAATTAATTAGCCTGCACGCGAAGATTCCTCTCCATTTCAACGATTAAGTCCCGCCAACTGTGTCTTAAGAGTTAACAAACCGCTTGTTTTCCAGCCGTGCAAACACTGTACGAAGATGGCAGCGTGCACCCGTTATGGCTGTTGTGGCTGGCGGTAGCTCTCGGCATTTTGTTCCTCATCATGCTGATAATCAATATATTCCTCTGCTCGGCAATGACCTGCAGCTGCACCAGGACCGACATTATCGAGAAAGAGCCATCGATTATCGAGGACTACGATCCGTATCGTAGCTGGCACGGCTCCCAATACGGCTCGAGGTTTCATTCTATTTATTCCCTTCTTTTTTTCTTTTCTTTTCTTCCTCCTCTCTTGACGTTCGTACGCCAGGCATCGGCTCGGAGATTCCTCGAGATTCCACGAAACTTGTAATTACCCTGGAAACGAGAGAGATTCGCTTCTTTTTTTCACTCTCTCGCCCTTTTTCCTCCTCTTCGTTCGAAACTGTAAAGGGTAGTTGAGATGTTTAGAAAAGGAGGATTCTAGGAATGTGCGTGCTTCGAACTGATTGAAATGCGGCAGCCAAGCCGGAGAATTCTTAGGATTGATTAGTAGGCTTGCTCGAGCGAGATAATGAATATGGGCTCGCGCAAGTGAACCGAACGAATACCTGTGCTCTTTAATTAATTACGATAATGTGTATTAGATTAGAATGATTAAAAGGTTCAGCTACCATATATAATTCATCGGTCGGCTAGTATCGCTACTACCTTAAATTATTCACTTTGTATTCAAAGCGACTCTTATTCTACTCTCTTTCACCGCGCGTAATCAACCTAACGACGTATTGTTAATTATTTTTAGAATGCTCGAATTAATCGTTCTCTCTCTCTCTCTCTCTCTCTCTGTCTAGGTACTCCTTGAATGGAAAGCAAGGATACGCCTCAGGAGGATCGACCATGAATTCCACCAGGTCGATATCGACCAACAGCGATCATTACGCCATAGTTCATTCCAGACCTGGCAGTAGATACTCTGGACCAGGCCAGAAGCATCATCATCATCATAGAGGGCCTCCGTCGAACATCGGCTCGCATTATTCTGGAAAATAACACGCTCGACGGCTACCTAACCAACAACAAATAGAACTATTATATTTTCATTAACGTCCTTGAACGCAATTCGAAAATCAAGCTAACCACGCGATCGCAAGTAACGGGTATTTCGATTCGACAGAATCGTTGCTCACACTGTTCCAAGACAAACTACACGAATACCGAAACAGTAGACGATTAGTCGATCCTTGACTCGAAAGGAAGTTATGAATAGCTCACGGAGAATTCACGGAGATGCCGGGTCAAAAATGACCCATAGCTAAAATCGCTTTCCTGCGCAAGGGAAGTCATATTCCTTTCTTCCAAATTAAACAAATATATTGCGACGAGAAATAATTCAAGGAAACGAGAGACACCTGAATGTCGGGTCAAAGTTGACCCGGCCTCCGGCGTTCCAAGGTTTAACGAAGTTCAACCTGTACTTCGTCGTTTGAGGAATTTATTTCGCGTCAATGATCGACCACCGTAGCTTGATACGTCCTCAATAGTTACTACTAATATATAACATACATAGAATGGTCCGAAATTCCTGCCCTAATGTGTATTTTTCTACCAATGTTCGACTACCGACACGATTGTTTCTTTACTTTCTACTTCGAGGAGGCAGGAAACCCGAGGAAGATGAAATTGTTAAATTTTTCGATACGAATTTTCTTCTTTTCTTTTTTTCAACGAAACGGTGTATCTTACACGTCGAGATATCGCAATCCGTTTCGTTCGATGTTAGTATTTGAGAGAAGGTTCTGCAGCTAGATCGTATATGTATCATATGATAGTCATAAACCTAGGTACTTAGAATCATTTTTTACAACGTTGCGTATTATCGTGCATAATTAAGTGGAATCAGACGAACGCTTTTGTACATAAATTCATTGATCAGATAACATCATCGTTTGTGACCAGGCGACATTTAGAAACGTTCGTTCGTTCGTTCGTTCTCTCGCGATACATGTATGTGTGCGCCGTTCTTTTATACCGTCCAACTAGAAAGTGTCAACGTGCAACGAACAAAATTTCGATAGTTTGTACAAAAAACGAAGAAACGTTTGTGGATTCTAGGGAATGACAGGAGCAAGGAATATATCTAGAGAGTCACTATGTTCTACCGTAGACGAGAGTCCTTTTCTGTAACAGCTCAATGAAACACTCAATGTTCAACGAGTCACAAGTACATGCCCCTTTAAATATAGTAAAATTTTGGAAAAATCGTGACAAGCTTTTATTCAACCTGAACCCACAATTTTAACATTCCGTTAAGTATTGTGATTTTTCGAATTTTTCCAAAAAGTTTCAAGTTAAAAACCAATGCAACCATCACTTTCAAAATATTATTTCTCGTGGATTGATAATTAAAGAAAGTTAAGTAAACTCTTAATTCGCGTATCGTTCACAAGCCCAGAAGTGAATGAACGCCAGAATGAAAGAGGTGGATCGCGTGACTCGACCACTTTACCAGGAAAATCAGCCGTTTCGAGATATTAGAGATGCAGTTATTCTGTAATTAAATCTGAGCGCGTTCGCAAGATGAAATTATCAGTAAAAATGTGCGACCATGGCCGTTAGGGTGTGTTCCATACCTGTTGTTCATGAATACGTCTTGTCACGTAAAGACGCACGCACATTATTCGCTCTGTCATACTAAATACTTCGCTCGAGGACAAATCGCATACGCGAATCAACTGCAATTAAAAGCACGAACAACATTTTCACTCGTACTTCGTACACGTCATCGGTGATTTCAAATTTCCACGCGATAAATCGTCTTTCTCTTTGAATTGAATTGGAGAGAAAAAGGAAAACAGGGAAAATATAGTCTTTATTTCGCGTTGCAAACTGTTTCAAGTAGAATACAGGGTATTTTCCAAGGATTTACTATGGAATTGAAGTAAAGAACAGCTTTTTTTCAAAGATACAAATACCTGCGTGTACCTTTCACTCTTACGCCGTTAATTACTCGGAAAAGATCACATGTCCGGCTTAAACGCGCTGCTTTCCTCTGGCTTAATTGAGCGAGTCTGAGTACCGCTACTGTTGCAACTTCATTTAGCACGGAACTTGTTAACGTTAATGATAACAGCATTCTAGTTTCTCGTATGGTCATTGTCCTCGGCTTTTCTTTCCTTTTTTTTTTTTTTTAAGAAAGTTGGGTCAATGTCTCGTCGCGCTACGCGACAAAAAAAAAAAGAAACGAAGAAAAACGACGCAGCAGAAATGACGAGATAGTCGAGCTTTTAAAAACAAATTTATTATTAAATGTACATCTTTATCTGATAACGGAGTATAGGCGCGAATTGATCGCTTAAATACTACCTGTACAAAAACACGAAAACTCATCTCTCCATGTGGACGATTACCGGTTGAATCTATTAGTCGTTTCGTCGCGTAAATAATTATTACGATGTTCGATCTTGTTAATTTCATGCAAACTAGTATATACCTCGATTGAGTAAAGTTTTCACGCATGATAAAAAAGAAAAGAAAGGACGAGATTGCAATTTAACGACAATCCTCGATGACAGGTCTACCATCGTTGGATTCTACATCGAAATTGGATAAATAAGTTAGTAAAAAAGGAGTAGGATAAAGAATTCGTTCAATGAATGTTAAGAAGAATGATCGATCGAACCGTATCGAAGACAACAATCGATACTGTTTTCCGTCGGTGGAACGAGGAATCTTTACAAATAAATTAGCGCTTCGGCTTTACGAACGTCTGACTAACGGCAGGTACGTTCTACTTCGGCCTCGAAAATCCTTCATCTCCGAGCGACGGAGGCAACGTACGAACAAGGTAGCGTCCACAGACGTTGCTCCGAGGATAATCCAAAGCTGCCCTGGCGGATCCACGCGAGCGCGAAAATCTGGCTGGTTTCTAACCGACAATTAGCGTACACACGGGTTTTATCATCCGGCAATACACCGAAATGAACGTTCCTTCGGTTTCTCGTTCCTTTCCCGCCATAAATCTACGGGGCATAAACCACGGCGAGAGGACGTCTCTTCCACGGAAACAAGAAAACGACACGCCTCGTAGCGGATACAAGGCGGACCTTTGCTCGCCTCGTTAGCACCGGCTGTTAACAGTCCGCTCGGACCGCGCTGCGTCGCGATTGAGTATTTCGTGTTTTAATGGTCCCACCCGTTGATTGTACTCAGCCAAGTGAACCAGAGGGGTTTTTTATCTACAGAAAGAGAAGAAAAAAGAAGGAAGAGAAAAGAATAGGCGAATATCGCGACGCGGTGACGCACAGAGAGTTCGCACCGCGTCGCGATCGCTCAACGGTCATCAAGCGTTGTAACTGTGAGTTGCGAGTAACTGTTGTTTTCTCTTTTTTGTTTTCTGCTTTAACCATGCTTCCCTCTCCACTGCTGGAAGAAGAAAACTCGAGGCACCATTAAATAAACGTAGAAACTATATAATTCCGCGACGACCAATTAACCCCGTCGCGTTGCAGAGAGGATTACGTCGATAATGAAAGAATATTTCGTGTAAAATAAATGGAAGCAATGTGAAATTTCGCGGTGTGTCATCAAATAAATAACGAACGTATCTCTAGGGAAAAAGGAAAATGGACGACGTGGTCGATAGAATATACCGAACGGAAGCTTTTCCTTCTTCCATTACCCTAATCCTCTACGAATACTCTTCTTCTCTATATTATCTTTCCTCCACGTATTGCGTAATACCTAAGAAGTTTCCTCTGTGTGTGTGTGTGTGTGTGTGTATGCTTGTGTGTACGTGTTTTTTTCCTCCGTATATAACCCTAATTGCGCTACTTGAAAAGGCTGACAAGGACAAAAATGGAAGCCGCGTGCTCCGGTTACGAGCACGAATTTTCCTCCCTAACTAAGGCCACTTTAGGAACCTGGATTCGATCCAGCAAAGCGTTTCGTCGTTCGTATATCGCGCGCCTTATATCTCTTCTCGACTACGCCACACTTAAGGGAGCAGGTCGCGATCATCTGGATCGAACGGACCGAGTTTCCTTAAACAGCATTTCCTTTAACGATCACCACCACGGATCCAAGAACCATTTTCACGACGGAAGTTCCCTTTTTCTTCTACCTCGTCGCGCATTGTCTCGCAGATATAATATATACGTGTTCTCTTCGCGCGCTACTTTCAACCCACCAAAAAAACGCACTGTTAATAATCTCGTTAAAATATGTAACGACTATTTTTCTACATTATTTACACAGTTACAAAATGTTAGTAACGTTCTCCGCGGGCTCACCTACGCGACAACAATTTGCCCTTCTCCGCTTTCTGTACCGCGTCACGCTTGCTCTCTCGACAGCTCCTCTAATAAGCGAAATATCACGCGGTGAAGTCACCTGAAGTTTAAAGGTGATCAGGGATCACGCGTACAAGTAGCATGAAGCATCTAGGACGTAATAAATATCGACTATTTGCCAGCCAGTGGGAGTCGTTACCGTCTCTCGCTGTTTACGGCACCAAAAGCTGCATCCGATTAAAACTTTTCCTTGCTTAGCTCCTTTCTTCCGTACGAATTTCTTTTCTTCTTTCCGCCGTCCTCGCCTTTCGAGGATCACGAATATTTGTCTCTCTTACACACTCTCTTTCTCGTTCATTCTCTGTCCCCCTTTGCGTCTCTCCGACGAACGACCCGACAAGAGGAAGATTTACGAAATCGATTCGCTACAGCATACTGACTACTTTACAGGAATACGCTAAGAAATATCGTGTATGCTTTGGACCGCCTCTGATCTCTCGCTTCCGTCAGGATCGATCAGTGAAACGAGCCTAACGACATCGACGGTGGCGTGATAGGTGGTAGATGATCGCCGCATCTCGGGAAATTCGGCGGTATCGGTGGTAAATCGGCGTGCGTTCCAACGTGAAGTATCAAATTCATACCGATGAGTATATGGAAGAGGAAGTGACAATGGACCAGCCAATATCCTGGAAAATGGGAAACGATTATAAGAGAGCGTACGTTGTTACGGCTCGTTTAACCGGTGTTTCGATTAAAAGCGCACGAAAGAGGCGTTGCTCAGCCTGGCTTACCAGGATTGTCCGCACGGAACCGGAAAATGACGTAGCCGTTGTTCGGCACCGCAATAGTGTCCTTGGCAGGTGGCAGATTGAACTGTCGATTTAGCAAACCCCTCTTATCGAGATCCAACGCGTGTTTCAGATTGATCTTCTTCACGTTCTTGTCTGGAGAACGGCCGATACCGATCACGTTGAACGCGTAGCCGTGCAAGTGGAATGGATGCGAGAGATTTGGCTGTTGGACTGTAAACAATTAATAAAACCTACGTTGGAAAAAGAAACAAGCTTCCCGTGATAAAATGGACGGCCTTTCTCCGCATCTGAACGTTTAGACCTATCGTTTAGATCCTATCTCACTCTCGTCTCATCCGTTATTTCTAAATATCTCGTAAAATGGCACATAGCTTATATCCCAACAAACATCCTCAAAATTACGTTCGACGAGCCCTTGAATACGGTGTAATGTTCCCACCGAAAAGTTGCCCTTGTCTTTCGATTTTTAACTGAAAAGCTTCCCCAAATGGAGGATCGTACCTTCGTCGACGAGGACCACTTCGACGACAGCGTTGTAAGGTATATCGACCTGATGAGTGCACATGCAGTTAGCCCCGCAGTCGGCAGGCCTGTTGTCCCCGTTGCAAAATTGCTCGGGCGGGATGTCGTCGATTTGCGAAAGCGGAGGCGCCGGCGGAAATGTGAACGAGATTTCATCGACGAGAGAGATTACATGATCTCCGGTCGGAGCGACTGGAAAATGCAACGTTAGATGACGAACGAACGTTTCGAGCACACGGTACAGTTTCGTTTAATAGATTCAATGGTAATGACTCCTTACGACAGATCGTAAGAAAAAGAAGCTATCCTTTGGAAAGAAACCAGTAGCAGGACGTTCTATACGAAGGCAGTTCGAGGCACGCTTACCCAAGAATCGATTATACGTCTGTGGTTGGAAGACTTCTTCTGGCCTGTAGAAGAGGAAACGGAATGGCAGGAATATTTTCACGTCTGGACGCTGTTGGAGAATTCCTTGATCGATCTGACGTGAATTCTTCAGCTGGCTCACGCAAATCGCGTCCACGCGCTCGCGATTGCAAATCGCGTCCAGGGGATTCAGTACCTGAAAACGTCGTAACATCCATGTGGCTTCGTTCGTTAATTCATCCCTTCCGAGAGATTACGGAGACCTCATCTGTTGAAAGATCGTGTAATCTCTCGCTCCCGAGAGATTGCGATAATTTGTAACGCATTTTCACGCTTTCCTCAACACCTGTATCGCGATCTTCAAGCTTCAACGAGAAAATCTTATTTCCTCTCGTTTCCATCACTTGCGCGCCGTTAAATCTCTCAAGAGTTCCACTTCTCCTCCTTCGTTTTTAAACGCACTTCACGCAAGTGAGGAACACTCTGCGGACACAACTAACGACATTCCAAATCCGAAATATCCGAGCCGGTGGTAAAACACCAACTAAGGACACTTTAATTTCATTCAGCCTGACATTCGCTTTTAAAACGACCGACTAGCGGCACTTCCCTCCAGACGACACCGTAATTAAGCCAAAAACTCTCGAGCGACTTTCTCTCTCTCTTCCTCTATTCGGCGAGGGAGATCGCTTCGGGTACATAAAACGGAGTGAAAAAAGCGTCGTGCAATTGCTATACTTACAACACCCTGCGGAAGACCAAAATCGTAAGTGGGCGCTGTGGTAGTAGGTTGATACGGTCCACGAGCGTAACGCAGTATGGCCAACTGTTGTGCACGAGGGATACCGCATTCGCCTAACGCGCGGACCTGAATCCAATAAGCGCCGACCGGTTGATCCGCGTTTATTACGAAGTCGTATCGCTCGCCTGTGTAGTAACATCATCGGGGTCAGCATTTCACTTTTACGACCAATTAAAACGTGCGCGACGATAAGAGGCGAGGTGAAAAATTCAATCTTACCGGAGAACGAGATGATCGTGTCTACTGTTACCGGTTGCACAGCTTCTCCGTCGGTCGCGATCACGGTTAGAGAGTGACCTTCGAACGTGATCTGAGATGGGCAAACTGATCCGAAGGAGTTGATCATTCGGAAACGATAACGACGACCAGGAGTTATGGTGAACACTTCGAGCGGTGTGTTCGTCATGAAACCGGTGTTTGGATCCTGTGGACAGAAACGGGTTCTCCAGTGCCTCGTGTGCGCATGTGTCTGGTTTATGGCAGTAGATCTTTCGATTTTTCGACATTCCTTCGAACGACGGGAGAAGGAAATTCGAGAGGGGAGAGTTAATCTGTATCTTTTTCAGGTGACGTGCTTTAATAACGGACACGACGAAAGGGAGAAAGTGGACGAGGAAAAAGGGATCGAGTGGTGGTGATTAAATTTATTACAGGTCGTTCGTTAAGGATGGCGAAGGATGAAACGAGGTCGTACGAGGAAGAGATCCATACCCTGAATTGTCCTTTTCCGTTGATCAACACACTTTCAGGTGCTTGGCCAGTGTTCACCGCCAGACGACCTGGGAAACGTTCAGCCGCGTTCTCGTGGAACCAATCGCTGAGTAGGACGACGTGAGTAGTCAGATCGTAGTCGTAAAGATGGCTGTTAGGATCTTTACTCGGCGGTTGACGTATCACGATACTTCCGTATAGGCCGTCTATCTTCTGTAATCCGGTGTGAGCGTGCCAGAAGTGCGTACCCTCGTTTCCAGCCATCCACTGATACCTGTGTTACGTGCGTGCACGTTGTGAAAAGAATCGAAGGATAAGTTTTCGAATGAAATTTCATCGAATAATTTTCCTCTCTTAATTATACCTGAATGTACTCCCTTCTTGAATGGGACATTGAGTCACGAACGGTACACCGTCGTAGTATTGAGTTCCCCTTTGCCATATACCGTGCCAGTGAATGGTTACCTCCATACCTTCGATATGATTTTCCACGTCGATTACCACCTTATCACCCTGACAGACTTGAATACTTGGACCAGGTACCATTCTGTTCGCTGTGAGGATACCTCGTTCTACACCGTCTGCTAAGACACACTGGCAGTCGCTCCAGACGACGTTCGTCGCGTTCGGGGTACATATTTGACATGCTCTATCGATCGTGGAAAGATCGCGTTATGAATTGGTATTGTCGGTGGAAGCGGCGTAGTGAGATCGTAAAATTTGTTAGGCATCAAAGTGTGCTAATTCGAGAGTTAAAACAGCTGCTCGAGGGAGATAGATCTATGTAATTGGTTCTGGAAATTGTAGCATCTTTGAAAAAATTTTTCTGCGGCTTAACCCTTTGCACTGAATTCGATCTTCTTTGAAAATTTTTAAAATTAGCGTAGAAATTAAGTATACTATTTTATTTCAATATTCGACGTATTCTCTGTTTTACTTATGGGGATCCGTAGATCTTCTCTCTGTCTTGTTTATTTATTCACCAAGTGACAATTATTTGTTGTCGCATCTCAATCGCCACTCGATTGCAAAGGGTTAATTTTCACCAATATGGAAATTACTGTCGAGCATAAATATGAATTCACAAACGACGTTAATGCTTCAATTTAGGACCTCGCTACATTTCTTCCACCAGCTGTACATTTGCAACTTCTCTGTTACAAATGGAACGTTTAAAAAGGAATTCGTTTGCGAAGGATGGAAAATTCGTTGGAAAAGTTATTCCTCGAGTAAACATAATACTCACGCCCCAAGAACGGTGTAATACTCAAGGGTGAAGTGATAGTAGCATATCCTGGGTGGTTCATTTTCGCGACAGGCTCTGGCGCATTCGTCAGGGGAGGAAAGCGCTGGATTTCGACGCAATTCAGCCGTGGCACGTTCACTGTAATCAAGGGGTCTCGTCCTCGGTGGCCTGACAGTCGCCCCTCGACTACCAAGATTGTCGATTCCTCCAAAGCCGCTTCGGAATACATTGGCAGACGGGTGAGTTTGCACCAGGCCGTGGCTCGATGGGAAAAAGTTCGTGTCGTCCGTGAATATGTTGCCTGTCTTGATGGTGGGCGTCCAGAAGGAAGACGCTGGCGTCTGGTCGGAGACTACATCTGCAATTAAAAGACAAGCCGTTAAGGTGATTACTAATGCCTGAATTGAACTTCGATTTAAACGTGGAAATCTGAATTTGAAAATTTTTATTTCGGTGGTTCAATCTGAAAATTTGAATTCCAGTGCTTGAATCTGAACCCTTGAATCTAAAAATTAAATCTGAAAGTGTTAATTCAAGAAATCGAATTTGGCAATTTGGACATTTGGAAATTTCAATGTGAAAGTTTGACGTTGAATTAGAAAGTTCGAACCTGGTAAGGTAAATTCGAACAGTCGACTTTGCACGTCTGAACTGCTGAATTCCACCGGAATCCGCTCGGAATAGAAATTAGGGAAGGAGGTCTCGCTGGATACGGTTGAAAACCCGTCCTTCATAAACGCCGGCAGAGTTTATGTTTTTCCGGCACGATCGTGATACAACGTAAAGAGAACACGATGAACGAGGAAACTAAGAAATCGTGCGATGACCTGAAAGATATTTGTCCTTTTTCTCCGCGTTATAATAACCTCGTGCACACGTAAGAAACGCCACAATGAAACCGGTACAAGATAGCAAATTTCGATAATTAACAGCGTACAAACGATACACCTATCGTTATTTACAACGGCGTAAATACACGTTTCATCGTTACGACACTTCATAACTATAAACGACGTAATCGACAGGATGGCAACACGGTAAAGTACAATATTATACATCTTACGTACAATGTAACACTTAATGTCGTACCAACGCCATTCGTTACCGACAAATACAACACGTGAATACCTAACCGTACCACGAAGAAAGCAAACTCTCTCCGGCGGTGTTTCTCGTCGCGCGTGTAAAAGTTCCGTCTCGGTTTATAAGGAAAAATGGCCTGCGATTAAAACACGCTACCGACTTCTAATGCGCATTCATAGATCTAAAAACGATCGTTTATCTCGACCGTGCGCCTTGCCCGGCTACGAAAGTATGCGAGGCAAAGAGAGAAATTGCGCTCGAGCACGGACGCGAATCCTCGAGAGTCAAGGTAGGGGACGTTATCGTTAGGTTATCTTTCACCTCGTGACCCTCGCGCGAGATAACCAACGCGACTTTTAGTTGTGCAACGAGAGATACACTCTGTGGAGGACACGGTGAAAAAGAATCCGGAGTAGAGAAAAAAAGTCGTCTCGCCTTTGAAAATAACTTCCACCGTATCATTACTCAATGAGATAATTAGCAGCAAGCACAAAGAGCGATTAACTCATTAATTATGACGGCTGCAAGGTACAAGGTGTGCGTCCAAGTATGAGAACCACACGCGAGCTAGAGACCACGATTAATTTGATGGTCACCTTAGTGGCTCGCTCACGCTGTATTTTCCCCTTAATTATCGCGACGCTCGAGTGATTCCTGCGAGCGGTTTTCACAACCGTCGATCTGAGCCACGGCCCGCGGCTCCTCCAACTGCCAATTATGGCATACACGCCTTCGTATTAGCAAATTTATCGTTTCTTTCATTTTTAGTTTTGGAATTTCGCCTCGATTCTGGCACGAGCTAGTTACGATTTCATTTCGGTTGCACGGTTCATGCGAAATTGCTTTTGTGAAACTTTCATTGCTAGCTGTTTTTCGGTTAATTGTCGTTGTTCGTCGTTTCGAGGAAAGAAATTCTATCAACGTGGCCTCGCCAAGGTTTCACAAATCTCGCGAATGTCCGTCTGCAATCTTCCGCGTAAATGAACAAACAAGGTACCGATCAATTTCCTACGCAAACACGGCGACGTTCCGTGAACCGGTTTTGTCACGCGGAAAGTATCACGCGTGCAGGGTCATTGAAAAAATCGCGGTGGAATTTCGGATTGCGTAGCGAGCGTTCGGAATCAAACTAGCCGCGGCTACAACTGCTAGAATGCTGATCTAGAATAACGTTCTCCCGATGAAAACTAGAAACTAGGTACACTTATTTCGCCGTATTCGTTCGTTGCTGCAACCATCAGTATCACGTGAGATTGCGCAGGAAGAATCTGGGAAAACTCGCAATTTTTCTCGAGTCTGGTAGCAGAATTTCACCGCGAAAAGTGCTGCAAAACGAAAGTGGAGAAAGTATCGGAAAAACGTTGAATTTCTGGGAAATTCTGCTCGTCATGTTTCACGAACACTCTTGTAATTATTATGCAAGAAACGCATAATCTCTTCGTGCCGCTAGTTATCCCGCGAAATTAGGTTACTCGGGAAAAATCCAATAAAATCCTCTATTAATAACGCTAGTTACGCAAGAAAAACATATAATGTTTTATCGTCGGTAGTTACCGGAGGAAATTAGGTTAGGAAAAATTCTTTCGCCGAGCGCAATTTTAATATTTACGATTGGATTTTGCGATCAGCTCTCGGTGCGTCGACTTGACGAAGCGAACTCACCGATACCAGAGAGAGAGAGAGAACTGCTTTTCAATATTTAACTACCCTGTACAACTATAGACATTATGCTTAAAGGGTTATAGTATTGTAATTCACCATTCTATCCGGTCGCACGCCAGGCGGTCGGCCTCGTCCGCGACCGGCATAGGCGTGCATTATTTACGACCCTGCACCGAACAGACATCGTGACGTAAAAATTCTTCGTGGATGAATTATGCCGCTCGCTTGGTATGCGAATTTTTTCCACCAGACACTGGCGTCGTGCGCCTACAAAGCTTTGAGCCGGCGCGTACCAGGCTTGAAAGCTCCCATTTGTCTAAAGTGTACCGTGACTTTTGCGCGGAGCACGCTTGGAAAAATCTTGCATCGGGAATTCTCGCTGGAAAGGAGAAAACAAGAGGAACGAAACGAATTTTCCCACCCCTTTCTTATTTGGAAATTTCAATGTGAAAGTTTGACGTTGAATTAGAAAGTTCGAACCTGGTAAGGTAAATTCGAACAGTCGACTTTGCACGTCTGAACTGCTGAATTCCACCGGAATCCGCTCGGAATAGAAATTAGGGAAGGAGGTCTCGCTGGATACGGTTGAAAACCCGTCCTTCATAAACGCCGGCAGAGTTTATGTTTTTCCGGCACGATCGTGATACAACGTAAAGAGAACACGATGAACGAGGAAACTAAGAAATCGTGCGATGACCTGAAAGATATTTGTCCTTTTTCTCCGCGTTATAATAACCTCGTGCACACGTAAGAAACGCCACAATGAAACCGGTACAAGATAGCAAATTTCGATAATTAACAGCGTACAAACGATACACCTATCGTTATTTACAACGGCGTAAATACACGTTTCATCGTTACGACACTTCATAACTATAAACGACGTAATCGACAGGATGGCAACACGGTAAAGTACAATATTATACATCTTACGTACAATGTAACACTTAATGTCGTACCAACGCCATTCGTTACCGACAAATACAACACGTGAATACCTAACCGTACCACGAAGAAAGCAAACTCTCTCCGGCGGTGTTTCTCGTCGCGCGTGTAAAAGTTCCGTCTCGGTTTATAAGGAAAAATGGCCTGCGATTAAAACACGCTACCGACTTCTAATGCGCATTCATAGATCTAAAAACGATCGTTTATCTCGACCGTGCGCCTTGCCCGGCTACGAAAGTATGCGAGGCAAAGAGAGAAATTGCGCTCGAGCACGGACGCGAATCCTCGAGAGTCAAGGTAGGGGACGTTATCGTTAGGTTATCTTTCACCTCGTGACCCTCGCGCGAGATAACCAACGCGACTTTTAGTTGTGCAACGAGAGATACACTCTGTGGAGGACACGGTGAAAAAGAATCCGGAGTAGAGAAAAAAAGTCGTCTCGCCTTTGAAAATAACTTCCACCGTATCATTACTCAATGAGATAATTAGCAGCAAGCACAAAGAGCGATTAACTCATTAATTATGACGGCTGCAAGGTACAAGGTGTGCGTCCAAGTATGAGAACCACACGCGAGCTAGAGACCACGATTAATTTGATGGTCACCTTAGTGGCTCGCTCACGCTGTATTTTCCCCTTAATTATCGCGACGCTCGAGTGATTCCTGCGAGCGGTTTTCACAACCGTCGATCTGAGCCACGGCCCGCGGCTCCTCCAACTGCCAATTATGGCATACACGCCTTCGTATTAGCAAATTTATCGTTTCTTTCATTTTTAGTTTTGGAATTTCGCCTCGATTCTGGCACGAGCTAGTTACGATTTCATTTCGGTTGCACGGTTCATGCGAAATTGCTTTTGTGAAACTTTCATTGCTAGCTGTTTTTCGGTTAATTGTCGTTGTTCGTCGTTTCGAGGAAAGAAATTCTATCAACGTGGCCTCGCCAAGGTTTCACAAATCTCGCGAATGTCCGTCTGCAATCTTCCGCGTAAATGAACAAACAAGGTACCGATCAATTTCCTACGCAAACACGGCGACGTTCCGTGAACCGGTTTTGTCACGCGGAAAGTATCACGCGTGCAGGGTCATTGAAAAAATCGCGGTGGAATTTCGGATTGCGTAGCGAGCGTTCGGAATCAAACTAGCCGCGGCTACAACTGCTAGAATGCTGATCTAGAATAACGTTCTCCCGATGAAAACTAGAAACTAGGTACACTTATTTCGCCGTATTCGTTCGTTGCTGCAACCATCAGTATCACGTGAGATTGCGCAGGAAGAATCTGGGAAAACTCGCAATTTTTCTCGAGTCTGGTAGCAGAATTTCACCGCGAAAAGTGCTGCAAAACGAAAGTGGAGAAAGTATCGGAAAAACGTTGAATTTCTGGGAAATTCTGCTCGTCATGTTTCACGAACACTCTTGTAATTATTATGCAAGAAACGCATAATCTCTTCGTGCCGCTAGTTATCCCGCGAAATTAGGTTACTCGGGAAAAATCCAATAAAATCCTCTATTAATAACGCTAGTTACGCAAGAAAAACATATAATGTTTTATCGTCGGTAGTTACCGGAGGAAATTAGGTTAGGAAAAATTCTTTCGCCGAGCGCAATTTTAATATTTACGATTGGATTTTGCGATCAGCTCTCGGTGCGTCGACTTGACGAAGCGAACTCACCGATACCAGAGAGAGAGAGAGAACTGCTTTTCAATATTTAACTACCCTGTACAACTATAGACATTATGCTTAAAGGGTTATAGTATTGTAATTCACCATTCTATCCGGTCGCACGCCAGGCGGTCGGCCTCGTCCGCGACCGGCATAGGCGTGCATTATTTACGACCCTGCACCGAACAGACATCGTGACGTAAAAATTCTTCGTGGATGAATTATGCCGCTCGCTTGGTATGCGAATTTTTTCCACCAGACACTGGCGTCGTGCGCCTACAAAGCTTTGAGCCGGCGCGTACCAGGCTTGAAAGCTCCCATTTGTCTAAAGTGTACCGTGACTTTTGCGCGGAGCACGCTCGGAAAAATCTTGCATCGGGAATTCTCGCTGGAAAGGAGAAAACAAGAGGAACGAAACGAATTTTCCCACCCCTTTCTTTCTTCTTTTCCTTCTTTCGACAATCGCGATTCCACGAAACGAGATAACAGATGTGATTGGTGGATAAATCACGAGTCGTTAACCTACACGGTAAATTTTATATCATTTCCAATGGTTCTTTCCCGCATCTACAGAGTGTCTCAGCTGACATTTCTCCTAAAGTGTATGCAAATCGCTACTCGATCGACGCGTTTCGCAACGTTTCCGCGTAAAAGTTCACGGCGATCGTTCGAGAAATTTCTCCAGGACCTCGTGGGTTCCTTCCAACAAAGTTCAAACGACGATTCGACCGATTTGGAAACTGTTTAAGGAACTCGAACGGTTCTGTATTACGTGAAATTCGTGGATCACTGGTCGTTCCGATAATTCATTTAAGGAACTCGAACGGTTCTGTATTACGTGAAATTCGTGGATCACTGGTCGTTCCGATAATTACCGTATTTCACGTATATTTCCTTGAATTTCGTTTCGTACAAGACTGCAGGAAATCGTGGGTTGTCGACTGGTACCGATCGAACCGGGGTCCAAATGGAACAACAAAAGAAACGATCGGAAAAGAACGTCTGTCGTAATGGTATTTTAGTAATCGACGCTCTGAATCACAATGAGCCACCGTTGGCGAAAAAACGGGTCCATAAAGTAGACAAGAACATGAGTGAAGCTAGTTTTTTGCACTTCTGCCATTCCGTGGCAATTTCGTAAACCATCGGGATTACCTAACCTTCTCCGAGCAGGCTGGCCGAGAAAAAACGTGCAGATTTACAATTTATCTCTGTCAGAGATTCGGTAAATCTCTGGATTCTTACCGCGACCCGATTCAGAAAATCTTCATATCCGTTGCGCCTAAGTATCTTTCGCAGCTTCGTCGATTCACTTCCTCGATTGTTGCATAGCTGTGTGACCATTGAAGTAAAGTTCTACGCGTTCATATCCGTTGCGCCTAAGTATCTTTCGCAGCTTCGTCGATTCACTTCCTCGATTGTTGCATTGTTGCATAGCTGTGTGACCATTGAAGTAAAGTTCTACGCGATATACACTCCGAGACGAAAACGAAAAGGAAAGTAAAGCACTAAAATTAACAGGATCAGCGTTACGATAATCTCGCGGATAGTAAGGTTCGAATCGTAGTAGAGCAATTGTCGAAAGCGCGCATTGTATCCGAGGTGAGATTATCGTCGGTGCATTCCGTTCTACGAACGGCGATGCTCGGCCAATAATGGCGAATATACGAGGACATTTACGAGGGGGTAAAAGTAGAAAGCGTGAATAAATTCACGCGTACAACGATCTCCGAGAATCTGATTCGGAAACGCGAGAGACAGCAGGAGGTAGGAGATCTTGATGGAATGAGTTTTTTCTGTTAACGGAAACGCGTCAAAGTCGCGCGAGATCCCGCGAGATGTGTCTGAAACGACAGTTGGGAAACGGTCGAGCGACTTGTCAAAATTATCGGATCTCCCTAGTTTGATGTGTCATTATCCAACGTCCCGCGGATCGCGTTTCATTATATAATTTTCATAGGTTTTACGTAACGCAACGGAGCGCGAGGTAACGCGAGTTTACATAATACCACCGTGTGCTTATGGTAGGCTCGCGAATCGGGTTTAGAGAGTCCACCTACGTCGCCTCTACGTGAAAACCCTGTCACGCGGATGCTTTTTTACGATGACAGTGCGATGAAGCAATGTGACGGGCCAGTTCCTATGTAGCGACAGGGGACCGCGAACAATGCGGCTGTGTAATAAGCCGGGCAATTTCTTCGTCCCCATAGGAGAAACGTCACCTACGCGGCTGACGCAAAAATACGCTTGCGTAAGGAAAGACGGATGATCGCGGGAAAAATGGAATTGCATCGGGAGAAAGATGCGACCGCGACGTGGATTTCGGGGGAATTTATGAACGTGTGCGCGGTGGATTGATGCAAGGATTTGTACCAGTCGGATTTAACGTCTGCGAGCCGATTTCTCTACGTTCGCGAGAAGAATAGTCAGGGTTCGTTGCAATTTTATATTTTTATAAGAGATGCACGAGTTGGTAATTGTTAGAAACGCGTTGGATAGCGATGGAATGCGTTAGGATGGGAATAAAGAAATAAAACGTAACTTCTAAGACACGTTGAATTACAAAGGGTTAGGGGTGGTATACTCTTTGAGATTAATTAGTAAATAGAAATTCTGCAAATTTGGGTTAGATTCTTCCTCAACGATTCGTAGTCGTGAGAGATTTATACGAACGTGTAGCTTATAAAGTGTTAAGGGTAGTGTATT